TCTAAATTCAGTTTAGTGGGTCTGCCCATATTTTTCCTTTTTATTCAGCTTTTAAAATTGTTTCACTCCTTTAAAACTTGAACCAGCTAATGCAATGATTGCTTTGACAAATTATTTAAGGGGGGAGATACATATAGACAAAAAAAAATTCCATTTTTTTTTTATTATTTAAATTGGTAGAACAACTCTTTAAGAATGTGTCATGAAAGTTTCACGAAGAAATTCGAACTATTTTGGAACTTATACCAGGATGACGGCACCCACCTTCCTTGTGCAGTAGATATATTTCATTACTTTGAATGCGTTTTTCTCGAAACCATGTTTTCCTCACCTGCGGATCGTGTATCTCAAAAAGTAATGCTTCGATCATTATGCTAAACATGACAAAATTGCAGTTCTATATGTATCTCCCCCCTTAATCCATAATATAAGTCCTAATATTTTTTATTCACATAAATTTGTCTTTTATATTTACACAAAACGAATAGTCATTCTATAGAATATTAATTTATATCACATATAATTAAACACCGGAAATTAGAACGAAATTTATCAGAAATCCAAAATGTTATAGAAATGTAAACAGTTTAACATACATTTTTGACATTTTAGCTGTGTGAAAAACACCCCCTGTGTTAAAAACACATTGTGTAAAAAACACGGCGTGTTAATAACACGTCGTGTAAATAACACAAATGAACTGTGTGTGTTATTTATGTTTCTAACATATGTAGGCTACAATTTTTTACACACATGTCAATAACTTTTTTTGAACTTAACACTTTGACATTTAACATGTTAATAACACAAGTTATTTACAGTGTGTGTTATTTTCCGAACCCTGTGCTTTAAGTTCCGTGAAATTTTTCAACATATAACAGCTGTTTGAAAATTCAACAGGAACCATTTTGGGTCGTTCCCTTAATTGCTGAAATTTTTTGTTGAATTTTCAACAATTCAGCAATTTAACAGTTTAGGGAATCCCCCTAATGTATTTACAGTAATTTTAGTAAGATGTCCCGTAATTTGTTCATGAGGTAATTATACCCGTTACTCGTAGAGTAAAAGGGTATATTAGATTCGTGCAAAAGTATGTAACAGGTAGAAGGAAGCGTTTCCGACCCTATAAACTATATATATTCTTGATCGGGATCACTAGTCGAGTCGATCTAGCCATGTCCGTCTGTCCGTCTGTCTGTCTGTCCGTCTGTCCGTCTGTCTGCCTGTCTGTCCGTCTGTCTGTCTGTATGAACGCTGAGATCTCGGAAACTATAAAAGCTAGAAGATTGACATTTTGCATGTAGATTCTAGGAGTTCCTACGCAGCGCAAGTTTGTTTCAAAAGGGTGCCACGCTCCCTCTAACGCCCACAATCGCTTATATACGATTTTAAAAATTTCAATATTTTGGAAAAGTAAAAATGCAGTTTTATTGTGTTTATAAATACCTATCGAAATGTAGAAGACATTTTTTAAATCGGACCATTCGTTAAAAAGTTACGGCGGATCAAAGTTTTTCTCCATCTCCTTCGCACTTCCTTTAGCTGAGTAACGGGTATCTGATAGTCGGGGCACCCGACTATAGCGTTCTCTCTTGTTGGTGCGCAAGCTAGCAAACTTATTCAATTTATTTGTGTTTCAGTAGTGCCAGAGCGAAGATGGGTGGAAAATAAAATCAGATAAATATATGCTTGTATAAATGGGATCTTAATCAAAAGTTTTTGGTACTTGGCGATTTTTTGGTTGACCCGTTTGAGAGTGACACCGTTTTTGCTCCAAGTGTACCTTGTAGGGTATTGTTACGAACTTTTTGTAGGGTATGGGGACGAACTTTTTTGATTCAAGAATTTGAATTGTGATCGTTGATTTTATGTAAAAAAAAACTCTAATATTACCATATAACATTGAATGCTGCAGTTTTATTGTTGTTTTGTATTGTTATTAGATGTGCCGTCAGTTTAATTTAATTAAAAAAAATTGCACTACAAAAGCTAGAAGGTTGAGATTTTCCACACATATTCTTGGGCCTCCTACGCAGCGCAAGTTTATTTCAGCCGAGCGCCACGCCCCTCTAACGCCCACAATCGCCCACTAACGATTTTAAAATGTGTCCTGCGCCCACATCTTTAAAGATTTCCGAGAAGTATAAATGCAATTTTGTTGTGTATATTTATACCTATCGAAATGTAGAAGACATTTTTCAAATCGGACCATTCATTAAAAAGTTATACGCAATCAAAATATCTACATATATCTATCTCCCTCGCACTCCCTTTAGCTGAGTTAGTCGGGACACCAACCTGAGTACAGCGTTCGCAACTCCCTTTAGCTGAGTGACGGGTATTAGATAGTCGGGACACCAACCCGACTATAGCGTTCTCTCCTGTTTCTCCTATTTTTAGTCAGTTTTTCATTAAACTTTGTTCGTAAATATTTATCGATTAATATTAATATAAATATATATTTTATACTGGTTCAATAGTAAATGTAATTGAATATTTCAAATTTTAAGAACTTAAACATCATGTTTATCAATATATAACTATTCAAGAAAAAAAAACGCAACATTTTTTTATTAATATATTATTATAAGGGATCAAAGAAAAAAAGAGACATCATGATTTTTTCGTCTCGACGTGGGATTGAACTCACACTTGCGGTTGTAAGCTTGAATAACATATTCATGCACGCACGCATTAGAACCCTAGGCTAGGAAGATTTCTTTGATTAAAGGCGATTATTTCTTAGTTTTAGAGAAAATTTCCTAAAAAGTGTATAATAAGGGAAACTGATCAAATAGAATTACAATTATTTATATTTTAGGGAAATATTTCATAAAAACAGACATTTTTTCAGAATGTAAGAAAAACTTAAAATTTTTTTTTTTGTTTTTTAGAAAAGCAATATTTCCATTATGCCGCCCAGTTTTAGAGTCGTCTCATCAGCCAGTTCATGTGGCATCCTGAAAATGGTGGCGTCGAAGTGGCCCTGGCCAGGCGTCGTTTGCAGGTGGACCATAATTTTAGATAGCTCTTCTTTTCGTCCAGTTTTACCGTTTAAACCATAGGCAGCGCGCACTCTCTTAAGCTCCAGGTGCTGACACTGACACCAGTAACTTCAGGTTCTTCAATATCCTTAAGTAGTCTTCGTCCACAAGTTTTGCAAAATTAAAATGATCATGGATGCCCTGTGTGTGCCAGAGAAATGAGAAGAAGGGACGTCGTTGTAAGTGCGCCATTATCTTATATATAAAGTCATAATAGGTGACCTGATAGAGTCGGTCGCCGGAGCACTCAAGATTATGATGGGTATTGTAGGTTGTGAATAAATCGATTTCCAGCATCACTGGACGCAAATAGTAATCAGTGAGCTGCTTTAGGAAGCCCCTTCTCTTGCATGTGAATGTTCCAATGCACTCATTATCCTCACTTAATACGGTCGAGTAACCAGCCGCTTTGAAGTCGTCCCATAAAAAGTGAAGTTAGGTTACCAGCGTAACAAGAAATTTCAAATTCGGAGTAGTTTTGTCCGCTTAACAAAGGGATCAGATTGGGGTACGAGTTACGACCGACACGATTGTAGCCCCAAAACTCTGTGTGGGTTAAACTATTCATAAGGTCTGACACTTTATGTAAGTGTCGTCGATAGTGCATATGGGACATAGAATCAAGGCCCATAATCATGACTGAAAGTTGTTCTTTAGATGTATATGTTTTTAGCGACCTTTTAGGCGGGGGCAGGAAAAACAGAACGTCACTAAAAATTATCCTGGCAAAGTCCACCCAACACCATTTACGAATGTTCTGCTGGCCGGTTCCAACCTCATAGTACCTAGATTGCTCGCTTGGCATAAAAAACTGCAAGGAGACGTACTTGCTCAAGAAATCATGAACCCTAATGAATTCCCGATACGCACAGGAAACACGTTTCCAGCGCTTCACGCGACAGAATGAGAAAAGCTTAGACTTCGAGATATTTAGGATTAAGCAATTCCGACCTTCGATAGTCTCAGCTATTAACAACTGCATCCTTGGGCAGACAACTGATCTGAATGGTTTTATAAAAGAAATAGCCAAATAGCCGCATTCATCCCATGAATACGACATCCCGTCGTATTTACAAATAATTCGGAGATTCTGAAGGTTAAAATGCTTTTAGGTTCTAAGCTATTATCCTTATTCCGGTCCCAATGCATACGGAAATACACGAGAAAACAAATGAGCATAAGAATCATAGCAAAACGTAGTCGTCGATTGTAATTAGCTGTCCATTTACCTTTCGCTTATAGTGATATTGATGTAAGCATAGAAGACATTTTTAAAATGTTCCGACAATACTTGAAATAATGACAAATATTTAAAGAATTACTTGATCTTTAAATATCTTTCCAATGATAGCGCCCACCTTTTAAGGTTCAAGTGTTCATATTGTATTTTCGCAACAAATCCAGTAAGCTAAATTAAAAATCAATAAACTTTAAGATTTATATAGGGTAATACGTTCTTTTAAAAAAAAAATGACCAAATAAGTATTAATTTAATATTACACGTTCGTTTATTGACTTTCTGCTTTCATTTGCGTTTTTTCATGCAATATTTGATTTTACAATTTAGACCTAAATATTAAATCTGCGTTTACAAAAATTATGTGGACGCCCTTAATTTTATATGTTATAATGTTGTTTGAAATTGTATAATCCTAATTTTGCTTGCTTTCTTCTTGTTTATCAGTTCAATATTCTCCGTTTGTAAAATTAAAATTACCGATCCGTTTCGTTACTCTCTTATTTAGTGTCTATTTGCCGTTATATATAAAATACAAAATGCATATAAAATGATGGATGTCGTAGATGGTGTTGACACTAATTTTTGAGGGGAAGGAAGAAGTTTGGCGAGCAGAGTTTGTTACAATAATAAATAAGTATAATAGGTATTTATAAATATTAAGTGCCAATATGGCCTTTTTCATACCTTTATTTTTATTATTATTTGTATTGTGATTATTGTGTACGACCTAGGGTTGGGTCTTGTTAAGTGATCGTATTATATATAACTTAGTTATGCTAATGCTTAATACGCATAATGCCAATTGTTGCAATTTGACTAAGTGTAAACACAGGAAAAAACCTACCTAAATGCCAAAATAAAATTAAAATTTTACAATATTGGAAAACTGTTTTAAAATCAAAATCTTAACAAAAATCGGATCAAGAAAATAGAATAAGAATAATAGAAAATATATTCATTTTAAAACATATTTTCTCCTTTTATAATACTTTTGGCATTTTCATTTTCGCTGCTTGAGAAATATCCCTCTGCTTTATCTCTCCATCTTTTTGTTTTTTCAAGGCCTAGAGTCGAACCTCAGAGAAAAAAACTTAAACTAATTTCAGTTAGAATTGGTTTGGACAGTCTTAATGCTGATTGGGGAGAGGTCGTAGACCCCTAAGATGCCTTAGCGAACTGGATAACAGAGCTCATTCTCATCACCTTGGACCCGGGTCCATCCCCGGCGCCAGCAGAACCGGCGGCACTGGCGGAGGAAGTTGCATCTCCGGCAGCCACCAGGGCCTTTTCGGGATCCACCTGACCGTTATCGCCCTTGTTCATGTAGTGTTTACGCTTACGGAGCGGAAGCGTCATCACGTTCCGATCGGCCATCATCAGGGAGTCGCTCTCCGGCGAGGAACTACGTTCGGGTGACTCGGTGCTGGACCGTAGTCCAATCGCTGCCTCCACGCGTCGCACGATGTCCGGATTAGGTAGAGCCGATCTGAAATAGAGAAAACAAAAAGTTATTATGTGCCCTTTTTCGCAGGGACCGTAACTGTTATAAGTTTTATTTTAAAAATCACACTTTAACAGTTATTTTCTGATTTGTAAAGTAAAACTCAAGGAATAACTGTTATTTTTTGAGTTTTATAACACTGTGCAACATTTTTAGGGTTATAAAATGTAACCGCAATTCTGATTTCATGGGCGGAAAGAACTCATCGAAATAAGCTAAAACCCATTTGGGATTCTCTGGCTTAGCTCGCGTTTACCTATTATGGCGAGTTAAAGTTTTACATACAAAATGTATTTGTAACGGCCATATCTTGTGAACCGATTAAAATTTCACTATCAAGTCTTCAGTGATTATGTAGCTATGAACCCAAGGAACTAAATTGACAAATGTCTCTTGCTAAGACGTACACCTAGCGCCTTAAAAATCGAAAAATTAGGCAAATTTGTTTTTTAACGCGCTAGGTGCACTAGGTGCTAAGTGCGCAAGAGTCATTTGTCAATTTAGTTTCTTAAGAGGTAAGATACATATAGACAAAAAAAAAAATTCCATTTTTTTTTATTATTTAAATTGGTAGAACAACTCTTTAAGAATGTGTCATGAAAGTTTCACGAAGAAATTCGAACTATTTTGGAACTTATACCAGGATGACGGCACCCACCTTCCTTGTGCAGTAGATATATTTGATTACTTTGAATGCGTTTTTCTCGAAACCATGTTTTCCTCAGCTGCTTCGATCATCATGCTGCTTTTACAGAAATGTTTGTAATGAATTTGCCGACTGTCTGAACCTACTTTATGTAAAAATTTGTACGGTTAAGAATTTTTTGTTAAGAAAAAACAACAAAAAAAATATGAAAAAAAATATTTTTGACTTTGAAAGAGTGCCACAACCTGAGTTTTTCAGATATTTTATGTAAGTTAGGTTCAGACAGTTTCTACGTTATTTCTTAACAAAATAAACTTGCTTTCATAAAAATCGGATCTACACAGCGACCTGTGGACCTTATTGGTAAAAAAAAAAATCACGAAAAACATGACAAAATTGCAGTTCTATATGTATCTCCCCCCTTAAGATTGCATGGTGGTTAAGTTTACAGTTTAGCGCAGAGATAACTAATTAGAATTTCAAGAATTTTTTTCTTGAAAATATAAAATAGAAACCGAATTTCATTTCTTGTTTTTAAGAAATAAACTTCCTTATTTTAAAGGCGTCTTTCTAAGCATTTAAGGGATTTTATTCTGATTTTAAGAAAATTTAGAGTTTTTTTTATTAGTGTAAGGGAAACGCAATACTCACTCATATTTGGGCACTGGCGCATAGCCTTTGTGAAGTCCGTGGCGAGCGAGATCACCCCGTTTAAAGTGTTCGATTAGGACGGTGGCTTCATGGGTGTCATCGTAGTTGGCCGCGAGATCACTGACGTGCAGAGTGGGGACGTGTTGCTGATGCGTCTGAGTCTGCGTCTGCGTCTCAGCTGGATGTAAGGACCCGTGGCCTCGACGAAGCTGCATCATTTGCCATGCCGCTGCGTGCACGTCTTCATCCTGCACTTGGTCATCGTTGTCGTGATGACGACGGGCCATGTTGGCTGCTTCGAGCAAAGCGGGATTGATTGTGAGGCCAGGGGCTTGAGGCTGCAGCTCCAGAAGATTTGGCGGGGCCTGGTAGAAGTCCACAGAAGGCGCCGTCGCCTGGCTCTGGCCCTGTTGCATGCTCAGGTCGGTCGGCTCCTCGTCTGTGTAGCTGCTGTGGGCAGGCTGGGCGCTTGACACACCGCTGTCCCGGCTCAAGGCATCCGTCTCCACCTGAACGGGCAGGTAGTGGGCCGACGTTGGCGGAGGCGAGGCCAGACTGCTGGCCGATGGCGAGTACGTGGAGCTGAGCGAACTGGGCGAGAGGGGCGAGGAAGAAGCGGCAGAGAGGGCTGCTGTCCCAGCTTTGGAGCTACGCGGCTGACGGGCCTGGCGAGGCTTCTTTGTGGCCGGCGGTGAACTGGGCGGCGAGTGGTTGCTGCTCTCAGAGTTGCTGCTGACGCCCTGCAAGGACGGCGACCCGGCCGAGGAACCCGCCGATACTGATGCTGCAGACGCTGAGGCCTCCGCCTCGTCCTCGGGGATTTCGTTGGCATGACCCTTGATGTGCGCCTCCATTTCCTTCTTGTTCTTGAACGTCTCGTCGCAAATGGTGCACTTGTAGCACTTGGAGCCGTAGTGCTGGACACGGTGCAGCTTCAGCACGTGGTTGTATCCAAAGTCCCGGAAACAGATGTCGCAGTGGTAGGGCTTTTCGCCAGTGTGCGTCCGCGAGTGCACCTTGAGCTGCTTGGAGCAGGTGAAGCCCTTTCCGCAGCCCGGCTCCGGGCACTTGTACGGCTTCTCGCCGGTGTGGGTACGCATGTGGATCACTAACTGCCCAGACTGGATGAACGTCTTCTCGCACACGGAGCACTTGTGCGGCCGCTCGCCGGTGTGAATGCGCATGTGCCGGTGCAGCTTCCCGGAGTGCTCGAAGGCCCGTCCGCAAACGTCGCATTTGTACGGCCGCTCCTTCGTGTGGATTCGCCGATGCACCTGCAGATTCTCCTTTACGCTGAACAACTTGTGGCAGAACTCGCACTCGAACGGCCGCTCGCCAGTGTGGGTGCGGTAGTGGCGGATCTGCAAGAGAAGGAGAATAATGTTGGTTTTTATTAAATATTTGCGTTGGTTTTATTGCGTTTTAATAGTGGCATAGTCTTGAAGTTCGGATTTACACCGAGAGGTTAGTTGTGGTTGAGATATTTTTCCTTAGAAGTAGGTGACTGAAAACCATTCGTATACCCTGCAGAAGGTATTTTAATTTTGGTCAAAGTTTGTCACGCAATGAAGATACGTTTCCGACCCTCCAAAGTTTATGTTCATATATACTTTGTAGGGTCGGAAACGACTCTAACTGAAATTAATCTGAGCTTAATTATGAGGGGTTTTTTGGCGTTGAGGTTGGGGCGAAACTTACCAGCCTGGCGGGAACGGCGAACGTTTTCTGGCACACGTTGCACTGATACGGATCGGCTCCGGCAGCTACGTTGGCCAGAGGCTTGATGGTCGGACTCTTGGGAATGCCGATCGGCAGACCCGCATCATTCAGCTCGATGGCCGCCGATGTCGCAACGACCCCCGCGCCCACTGCGCCATTCAGTGAGAGATCGGCATTCTTTGAGTGCGACTTGGTATGCGAGGTATGGGCCGACTTGCTGCCAAAGGTCATGCCGCACTGATCGCACTTGAACTGCGGCTTGTTGACGCTCGGCTTGCGCACCTGCGACACCGCCGCTGATGTTGAAAACACGGCGGACGGCTCTGTCTTGATCCGCTGAGGGGGTGGGGCTGCTGCAGTCGGAGTTGTGGTCGTAATACTTTCATGTTGCTGCTGCTTTTGGTGCTGCTGGATGGCCAGTTGGTAGCTGACAAACTGCTGCTGCTCCTGGTGATGCTGGTCCTGCAACTGTTGTTGCAATTGCCGCTGCTGTGGTGTCTGCAGCAACTCAAATTGCTCCTGCTGGCCGCCGGATGGTGGAACTCCAATTCCGACACTCGTGGTCGTCGCCGTCAGTGGGGGCGGCACCTGAAGACAGAACTGCGCCTGACTAGATTGCTCCGTTTTTATGAGCAGCTGGTTAGCGGAATAGTAAACCATGTTGGTTGTGGCTGAATCTGCAACAAGCAGGATAATGGGATTAAATGAAATTGGTTTTTTTTAATAGGGAAAATTACGCAGTAAGCTACTTGTTATATACATGTTTAGACATTATTATAACAAAAACTACCAGAGACCGAAAAAAACATAATTTTAAAGTTTTTTTTTAAGATTACTACGATTTTTACTTATAATTGTCAAAGATAACGCTATTTTTAATTTTGACCACAGGCAGTGTTAAAAACAAAAATCACACTTAATAATTACACAGGCCAACAGTGTTTTTGGTGCAGCCCTATGGGCATTAAATTGTGTTAATATAGACGGATATAAGCATATCTGCATACTTAGTTTTCGAGTTTAACGGGTGGTATTTGTGCAATCTCGGTTTGAAAAAAGTAGCAACATTTTATATTTTCATTTAAGATATCTTCGAGGGTCTGTGCTCAGTTGTAATAAAACCTATGCCAAAAAATTGCTTAGATGCCCTTCTACATAATTGCATTTAAGGTTCCATCATTATTTGAGTTAATAAAAGCCTATGAGCCATTGAAGTAATTTGTTCACCTCTATTTACAACCAACTTGATGCGGTGAACAGGCTTAAAAAAATACAAGGAAAAATATGTGCCCTAACATATTTTACATGCATCTAGAGGCGTCTTTTCCCGAATTTTTGAGATAAATCCCACTATTGTACTTCGAAAAATGGAATTTATAGAATTTTTTCCGTAAGAATGGGAAAAGTAACAAGTATTTTAGAGTCATTCTTACGTAACGAGTGTGTCGTGATTTTACACAGTAGGCTTTTTAAAGATAACAGTGGCGTCGCCTTAAAATTGTGGTGGGGATTTCTTTTAAGGCATATTAACCCCTTAAAAATATAATTTGTCTATGTTCGGCGCCTACTGCTAACCAAATTGAAAGGCACATTTTTACGAATGTGTCAGATATTTATGTAAAATGGGATTTAAAAATAGTTGTTACTTTTTAAGTTCTTACGGAAAAAATTCTATAAATTCCATCCTTCGACGTACAATGGTCTTATTTGTCTTAAAAATTCGGTGAAAGACGCCTTTAGATGCCTGTAAAATATTTTAGGGCATACATTTTTCCTTGTATTTTTTTAAGCGTGTTCACCGCATCAAGTTGGTTGGGAATAGAGGTGAACAAATTACTTCAATGGCTCATAGGCTGTGATTGACTCAAATTATGATGGAACCTTAAGTGCAATAATGTAGAAGGGCATCTTAGCAATTTTTTGGCATAGGTATTATTACAACTGAGCACAGACCCTCGAAGATATCTTAAATCAAAAAATTAAATGTTGCTATTTTTTTCAAGCCGCGATTGCCCAAATACCACCCGTTAAACGCGAAAACTAAGTATGCAGATATGCTTATATACGTCTATATTAACATGTTTTAATGCCAATAGGCCTGCACCTTTTAATAAAGTCCATTTTGTTGACCTGTGTTATTTACGATTTATTGGGTGGGAATAATAAAACTACTAATCCTTCCAGTTTTTTATATCTGATTCTTACTCATTTTAATCCTGGAAACTCGATTGATTAACCTGCGTTACATATTCGATTGATCCGTGTCAGGAAAATTAAGAAACACACAAAAACAGATAGGAAGTGCTATACGAGTGGTTAGAAAAGCCTCGTAAATGGAAAATAGGGAGGGTGTGGGAAACCCACCCCTTAAATTTATTCTACGCACTTTCTGTTATTGCCGGTCGGAGTTTTCCAAAAAGAAAAAACGTACAAGCTTATAAGAGAGAGGAAAAGAGTGAGAGAGGGAGAGAGAGAAATTGGGGGGAACTTCCTTCTTTTTTAAATATCCCATCTGGGAAATTTAGGAAATATTATAAGCCCTACGGTTTCCAACCGGCATTTTTTCCCCTGCCGTTCTGCTCTCTCTCTCCCTCTGATTCTTGTTTACTGTTATGATAGTATAAACCCCACACCTTCCCCCAAAATGAAAATGTTGTATACCAAAACAAAATGGCGTCGCCAGGAAACTTTTTTGGTCGACTTTTCCAGAAAAAAATTTCCGCGACAATCTCAGTTACCTTTCCCCAGCGACTTTTTTATGGTAGCCTTTGGAGTCTTGGATATATCAAGCAACTCGGTGCCCGATTTGTTGAGACAATCTTTAATCCAAAGTTGTTTGGGGGCCCAAGTTTTTGGATCATTCTTGCTTTCAGTCATCGTGTTTCTTACATATATGCTTCTAATATTACTTTTTGATTATTAAAGTCCAATAATTACGTTAAAAGTTGTAAGCATTTTCAAAGATTTAGTTTTGTAAATTTTTTAGAGATCTTTTTGCATTTATATGTGTAATTAAATAATTCATTAAAAATCAGACTTCAGCTAAACATTTTGTAGTTTTCCAGTCAAAAGTCCTTGGATTTATATAAAAGCAGTCTTAGGATTATTATGTTAGTTAAGTCATGACTTTTTTAGACAAGAATTTTCATTTGACGAGTGATTTTTTCCTTAATCAGATTCTTCTTGATAATTTTGATAATTTTTTTCAAATCCTTCGATTGTTGCACGGGATAGGTGTGTTGGTAGGCCTGGATATTTTGCGGAGGCTGCTGCTGATGGTTGCGGTATTGATGATGACCGCCTTGACCCGTGCTCTTATTCATGCGCATTTTTCTAAATGATCTCAAAATATCGTTCATTGAAAAGTCGGTCATTTTAGAGGTGTGGACCACACACACACTCATACCACACGAACAAACACTGAACAGAGTAGAATGGGAATCGGAAAATGTTCACATCGCCGCTCACGAAGTTTTCAGCTTGATGGTGTAACGGAGACTGGTGGGTGAGTTCCCGAAAAATCTGCCTCAAACCCAAGAAACAACGCGGCGCGGAAAAACCAACCACCAATAAGAATAGTCCCATTTGATCTGAAATTTCCCTAAATTGGAAAATGTTTGAGTGCAATTTGAAAGGGAATTTTTGAGTGTTTCTCTGTTTGAGTGTTTTGTGACTGTCAGATAAGATGGAATATTACAGTACAACCAAATTTCCGTGTTCAGTGAATGAGTCAAACAGTAAATCCATTAAATATGTAAGGGAGAGGTATGCAGGTTGGTACATTTTTTGTTTTTTATCTGGCATTTAGACAATCGTTTATGACGATAAACTTCAAGCAATCAAAAGGTTAGTCTTTTAACTTCAAAAAACAAAAAAAAATATTTTTTTCCTTCGGAAAAACTAAAAAAATTTTTTTTTCTAAAAGTGCCAAAGCCTTGCTTACACAAAATGGGTAGTTTTAGGAGAAAATTAATAACATTTTTTCTGACTGTCAAATTAATCTGATTTTTTTAATTAGTTAACAACTAAATTATTAATTCTTACCAATTTAATATCAGCACGTTTTATTTTTTTATAGAAGTTTCAAAAAAGTGAAAATATACTTATTTGGTGAAAAATGAGTGTCACAACTTAAATCTGGATTGAGCATGGCCTCTAATGTTTCACTCAAAAGTTTTGTTACTGTGATTATACCCGTTACTCGTAGAGTAAAAGGGTATATTAGATTCGTGCAAAAGTATGTAACAGGTAGAAGGAAGCGTTTCCGACCCTATAAACTATATATATTCTTGATCGGGATCACTAGTCGAGTCGATCTAGCCATGTCCGTCTGTCCGTCTGTCTGTCTGTCCGTCTGTCTGTCTGTCCGTCTGTCCGTCTGTCTGTCCGTCTGTCTGTCTGTCTGTCTGTCTGTATGAACGCTGAGATCTCGGAAACTATAAAAGCTAGAAGATTGACATTTTGCATGCAGATTCTAGGAGTTCCTACGCAGCGCAAGTTTGTTTCAAAAGGGTGCCACGCCCCCTCTAACGCCCACAATCGCGTATATACGATTTTAAAAATTTCAATATTTTGGAAAAGTAAAAATGCAGTTTTATTGTGTTTATCAATACCTATCGAAATGTAGAAAAAATTTTTATAATCGGACCATTCGTTAAAAAGTTACGGCGGATCAAAGTTTTTCTCCATCTCTTTCGCACTCCCTTTAGCTGAGTAACGGGTATCTGATAGTCGGGGCACCCGACTATAGCGTTCTCTCTTGTTTTTGATAGTATATTGATTGAAAAAGACTGAAAATTACAATATTTGAAGTAAATATTGGGCGGAAAACTGATGGCTTCTTTCGGAGATTTCTCCAAAAGTTCATCTATAAAACGCAAACGTCCAGATTCCACCTTCAATAGCTAAGCATTTGTAGGAAACCTTCCAAAAACAGAATGAGCACAAGAAGCCAATGCTAAAATACAATAGTTTCAGTGACGGCAGGTTCAAAAAACTTTATCGGCTTTCGTTGTTTATTGTTGCTGGTGTTTATTCGGCTGTGCGTCAACCTAGAGCAAAAGTTCATTAACATTCGACACAAAAACTATTTCTGAGTTTGTATGGTTGGAGTAAAGAGCACTGCTCGACAAAGTTTTTCAAGGTATTACCAACAACATTTTTTTGGGGAAAAAATACATTCTCTATTATGGGTTTAAATCAGCGGTCGGCAGCGCCCTATTAAGTGAGCATAGGGTTTTGTTCTGCCGCCGCGCTGCTCGCACATGTATAACGTAGAACAGCGGTCTGCACACACACATCGATGAGCTGCCCAGTGCAAATTACTCACACAAATATAAAACAAAATGTCAACGTATGTGTGTGCCGACCGCTGGTTTAAATGAATGCCGTGGAACGCTCTTCCGAAGATCTTGGTTTTCAAAAAGAGAGGCCAGCAAGACTGAGAAAGAGTAGGAGAGGGAGAGGCTGTTCCTTAGAAAAGTGGAACTGCCGTTACTTTGTTGGGATAGCTCTGAAAAAAAGCGACTTGAAACTGGTCTTTGGGGGAAGTGTTAATGTTTGGATAGATCAGTAAAGTTGAAAGTTATTTCATAAAGTAAGTAAATTGTGATTTTAATTTAGATCTTTATGCGTACAAAAACATGTATGTACATATGTATGTATGTACAGTGGATCA